TTATTTAAAATTGAAACTTTATAAACTAAAATTATTTAAAATTGAAACTTTACAAACTAAAATTAATATTTAACCTTTTAAAATTAATAGATTGATAGGTCATAAATACATTAGTCGGTAAAAAATTGGCATTTTTGCATGAGTTTTTAAAATTAATAGATTGATAGGTCATAAATACATTAGTCGGTAAAAAATTGGCATTTTTGCATGAGTTTGTTAAGTAGAGGGCACATTACCACAAAAATGTAGAGGGTTTGACGTGCCACAACATTACAAGTTGAGGTACAGCTCCTAGTCTACTTCCTTTTCTTTTGGTTAATCGCCAATTTAGTCCCTTAATTTTAGACTTTTACATAGTTTTGTCCTTACACATTTTTTTATCCTCAACTATAAAAAAAATTGTACTTTTTTTTGTCAATTAGTCTGTTAAATATATATATATATTTTTAGTCCTTGAATCTTCAAGTTGAGAGATAAAAATTATACAAAATTTTAAAATTGAAGAACTAAAAATATATATATATAGACAAATTTAGATGACTAATTAATGAAAACATAAAAAAAATACATTTTTCATAATTGAGGGATAAAAAAATAAATAAATAATTGAAAGATCAAAATTATACAAACTCTTAAAATTAAGGAATTAAAATTAACATTTAACATTTTCTTTTCCTTTACTATTTTCTCCCTCAATTTATGGGTTTTTCTTGGATTGCATGAGTTTGTTAAGTAAATAGAGTGCGTTGGTACCAAAAAAAACAAAATGGTCGATGTGCCACAATATTGCAAGTTTAGGGGCTGATTTACACCTTCTGCCTTTTCTTTTCCTTTGCTGTACTCTCTCTTTCTCTGCTTGTGGGTTTCCTCCATTGCAAACCAAGCTTCCCTTCCGGCTTTCCTTTTGCGTCCCTCCACAAACCTACACAGTTCACCAACCATTTCACCTACCTCTGCTTTTTTGCGCTCCAAGATCCACACTTCACTACTACATTTCTGTTTTCCTCCATTTTTTTTTTCTTTAGCTCCCTCGTTCTCTACATTCTTTCTCTCTGAAGAATAGAATTGTGTCTGCCCTTTTCTTGTCATTTCTCTTAATTCTTTTCGGTCCATTACTACAACTCTCTGAAACTGCAATTTTGCAACGGTAACCCCTTTTGGGGGATCTTGGTTTTGGTGGGTTTGTGTTATTTCAGGTCCATTGGCTTATCAATGCGCATTGAGTCTCTGGTGGTTCTATTAGAAGAAACCCTGAGTTCCCAAAGAAGAAGATCAAGGGGTTAACTTAGATCACCACCTCAAAGGTAAATCCTTTCTCTTTTTTAAGCAAATTTTTGGTGTCTCATACTTATCTTCATCCATCTCCTACTTAGGTCATAAGTGGTGCTTTATAGGAATTTGTTGCTTTCTCAATAGTTTTCATTTTGGGTTTGAATTTTGTGAATTTATTGGTCTTTGTCTGCGTTTCTGCTATTGTAAATTGTATTCTTTGGTGAATTTTTTTTCTTGTGGAGCCTTTATGGTAAAGGGTTTTCTTGATTTGTTAGATGTCCGCTATGGTAGTTGGCTTTTTGTTACTGTTTTCTCTTGAAACTGTTTACGGGAATGTAATTTAACATTGTTAATGTCTAATCAGATTCTCTAATTTCCTAACTTTTTCATTTTTATTTTTTTTAAGTAGTTGCAAGATAAAGCCAAGAATCTTAGTTATCCTGATTTACATAATTGAATGGAATTTTCTATCATTTGCCTTGAGATTTGAGTGTTGAACTAGTATGAGGATGCCTTTGATGGGAGTGGATGCTTGTTTACACATCCAAGAACAGTGAAAAGTGAAAGCTCAAAAATGATTTGGTCATTTTGATGTGTTTAGAGTTGCAAAATGTGTTTCTGGTATGCAGGTGGATGATGTGTTGATTTTTACTAGTTTTGGCAAGATTACTTCAGTTTTACTTTTGAGAATCTGTAAGATCAAAGATGCCTGAGAGTTCCTTGAATTCAGAATTGTCAAGGAAGACATCGTTTTTAGGTCTAAAACTATGGGTTTTGATTGGTGTATCAGTTGGAGCATTTATAGTGTTGATTCTTTGTATCTTATCTGTATGGGTTACATTTCGGAGGAAATCCAGACAATTGGTTGACAAGTTCCCCCTTTCTCAAATACCAAACATCTCCAAGGATATCAAGGTTGATAGAATTGGTGTTCAAACTTACAATGATCACCCAGAAAGTTTGTTCCTTCCAGTTAATGATAAATCAAGTGATAAGAATTTGGAGAAAATGCTAACTAATTTTGGGGCAAGCAAATCAAGTGATCCTGATAACATAAGTCAGTGCAGTTCAGTCTACCACCATGAACAGGCATTTAGTTCCCATTCAGGTGAACAAGGAAGCTCTGGCACAGTGAGAAAGCAGTCTGCTTTGTCATATGGAGGGTTAGTTACAGCCTCTCCATTAATTGGTCTTCCAGAAATCTCACATCTTGGGTGGGGGCATTGGTTTACTCTTAGAGACCTTGAGTTCGCAACACATCATTTCTCAGCAGAGAATGTGCTTGGTGAAGGTGGATATGGGGTTGTATACAGGGGTAGACTGATCAATGGGACTGAGGTTGCAGTAAAGAAGCTCCTGAATAATTTGTGAGGATGGTCTTTAAGACTACATATCTTGATTTTCTTGTTCTCTTTTTTTTTTTTTTTTTTTTTTTCTTTTTTTTTTTAATTAAATGAAAAATAAAAAACTACATTAGTAACTCCTCTGAGGACATGGTTCTCTAGGGGACAGGCAGAGAAAGAATTTAGGGTTGAGGTGGAAGCCATTGGCCATGTTCGACATAAGAATCTTGTGCGACTTTTGGGCTACTGCATAGAGGGAGTTCACAGGTGAAATTACTTTGCCTTTGATTGATTCAAGAGCCAACTTCCTTCCACATTCTTTTTAATGACTTCTGATTATGTTATTGTACTACTGTGGTAGTCTCTTTTCAATGATTTCTGATTATGTTATAGTACTACCATGGTAGTCTTTTCTAATCTTTTCTCAGTCTTTCTAGTTATGTGATTTATGATTTGAGTACTAACTAATACAATGGTAATTGTGATTGCTTTATATCATGTAGGATGTTGGTGTATGAGTATGTGAATAATGGCAACTTAGAACAGTGGCTACATGGGGCCCTGCGCCAGCATGGTACCCTGTCTTGGGAAGCTCGCATGAAAGTTATTCTTGGCACTGCCAAGGCGTAAGTTCATCATTCTGTTAGAGGCAATTTCTATTTGTATTTTCTTATTTGGTATTCGTGAATAAGTTTGGGTGAAAGAACTCTGCATGAATAAGTTTCTATTTGTTTTTTCTTATGCATTTTCTTTTATGTACATAGTTGGATGAGATTTTATCCAAACAAAAAGCTGCAGTTTCCTTTAACACTGAATGAATTATTTTTATTTTGTTGATACTACATGTTTGCTGTGTAATCTGGTTCTGGTTGAGAATATAACTGATGATTAAATTAACTGAAAAGCTTTATGCTTTATAACATTTAGAAACAATCACAAACTGGTTTCTATATGGTGGCAGGCTTGCTTATTTGCATGAAGCAATAGAACCAAAAGTTATTCACCGGGACATAAAATCTAGCAATATATTGATTGATGATAATTTTAATGCTAAGGTTTCTGATTTTGGACTGGCCAAGCTGTTAGACTCGGGAGAAAGTCATATCACAACTAGAGTTATGGGAACATTCGGGTAAATGCAGATTGATATTTATTCCCTTAATTTACAATTGATCATTCTGTGTAAGTATCTTCTGATGGAAATTTCTCTTCTGTGACTTGCAGTTATGTGGCACCTGAATATGCTAATACTGGCTTGTTAAATGAGAAGAGTGATATTTATAGCTTTGGTGTCCTCCTACTTGAAGCTGTCACTGGTAGAGACCCTGTGGACTATGGGAGGCCTGCTAATGAGGTATTGTGTCATTATGACTTCTAAAATAATTTAGTCATATCTAGCCTCTTATCTTGTTCACTATCCTGCCTCTAATTCTGTTGAATCTCTGCTAATGGAAATTAGATAAATTGATCTACACAACATTTCTTATTGGTATTACTTGAGTATTTTGTAGATCAATCTTGTTGAGTGGCTGAAGATGATGGTGGGAACAAGAAGAGCAGAAGAAGTTGTGGATCTGAATCTGGAAATTAAGCCTACGACACATGCTCTTAAGCGTGCCCTTTTGGTGGCACTTAGATGTGTTGATCTAGATGCTGATAAGCGACCTAGAATGAGTGAGGTTGTACGGATGCTAGAAGCTGATGATTATCCATTTCGTGAGGTATAAGTTTTTATGATTTCTTTTATTGGTTCAGGCTATTTAATTACTTCTTGGCCAGTTCTCTACCGAATGCATTTTCATACTGTATCAGGAAAGTAGAGTTTGTCTTAGCTCTTTGGCAATCATGAAGTTCATATTCTTTTATGCATGCTTTAAGATTAAGTCTGTTTTGTTGAGATTTGGTACATATAAGGACACGACCTTTCAAAAATTTTCTAATTAAGGCTACCACTTTTCAAAGTTTCTAATCAAGGATATGACCTTGCACATCTACTTGATAATTTTTTTAGAAAAATCGCAAAGGTCATATCCTTAATAGAAACTTTTGAAAGGGATAAGAGACCCTTTCTATGGTGGTCTTAGGTCAATAATTCTTTCAGTTAGGACTTATAGGTATTAGTTGAGGATGAGAATCCCCATGAGTTGCACAAAGGATTTAATAACGTGTTTGAAACTAGGACTAATAGGGTCTTGCTCCCTTAGGAGTTGCTATATGTGCACTGGGTTGGCTAGGGAATGGCATCTCATGAGGACTTGTCTCTTTTTACCAGTTGGTACTCTAGTGATGGGGAAAGACAACAGTGCTGTGTGGTTGGGTGTTTTCATCTCGCATTCTATGAGTCTGTTATGTAGTAGGGCTTTGCGCCTTAGTCATCTTTGTAAGCTCTCACGGCTACATATTTTAGCTTTGAAATGAATCCTTCCATAAAAGAAATCATTGTATATAACAAATTAACTCCTAAATATTCATAATTGTAAAAGAATTTCAGAAAATGTCGATTGCTTTCTTAACTTGGTGAAAGCTTGACCTAGAGTTTTGAAGTGTTAGAGCTATAAAAATCTTGAGGCTATAAAATAGTACAGTGACAGCTGCACTTGTAGCTTGAAATTCTTCTTTTCAACCCAACAAGGTAGGTGTTAAAGAAGCAGATTCATGATCAAATAGTTTTGGGAAAATAAAATCAACAAATTGACATCTTGAAGAGCAAAAAGGATTCATCAGTATCCCAGTTATTTTCAAGAACTTCGGTTTCTACCTTATCATCCATCTTTATATTTGGAAATTCTTCTAGTATGACTTCAACTTTCAAGTTCTTTTTGTGATCTTCTCAATCTTCCTCATCGAAAACTTGTCATTGAATCTCTCTTAATGTTACCAGAAGTTACTGGAAGGTTGTCTTAGTTCCCTTAGTGATCTTGCTTTTTCAAGTCATAACTTCTTTTTGAAAAGACTCAAAACATCTATCCAATTGCATTTTATAGAATTTTGGAAATTTAGGCTCCATGTAGTATGATTGTGGTTTTTGGTTATTAGTTTTGGTTGTCATAAATTTTACACCTATTGAAGCCCAAAGCTAAAAATAAAAAACTAACAATTTATTTGAGACAAGTTTTAACATTGACAACTAAAATTATAAACTTGTTTAATAGTATTAAAACTATTTTTGTTCTTATTTTTCTAATAATTATAATAATATGTTGCAAAAATACATGAAACTAAAGAAGTTTGTTTGTTTAGAGTTGCAAAATTTTTAAAATCTAAAACAAAAAGCCGTAACCATACTAAGCTCCATTTAGTGTGTTTGTGATTTTGAGTTTTTGATTCTAGTTTTAAAAAATTTAGAAACGCTAAAATAAAATTAAGAAGTTTATAAATTTATTAAATTTGAAGTTTTGGCTATTAGTTTTAAAAATTTATGCCCAATAAGTTACCAATTTAATTTTGGGGAATTACATTTTAGCTACTTGTGGTTTGGGGTTGGTGCAAAGAAAGATCTGAGATTTTAAGATGTGCAAATAAGGACTTGAGGTTTGTATTAAGTGCATTTAACCACTTGGAGTTACATAAATACCCTTGTTTTTCTTTTCTTTTCATTCTTTTAAATTAGGGGCCTTTAAGAAATTTCAAGAAATTTCAAATGGTTATTCACACCAAGAGCAAATCTCAGGTGTTTACATGCATATTTTGATATTTCAGATCTTTATTTGCGTGTATGTTATGTGCACATTTTAAAATCTCGAGTTTTTATGTGTACTTATCTCAAACTACAAGTAGCTAAATCACAATTTCCCCTTTAATTTTAATTTTTGTTTTTAATTGTTAATTTGATTGTTTAAATTTGAAAACCAAAACCAAAAACCAAAAACTACAACCATACTAAACGAAGCCTTAGTTTACCAATAAAATAGTTTTGCCCATAGAATTTACCTCTCTGTCTAGGCCATTAATGTCACAGCAAAAACTTGATGCTACTATGCACCCTAGCTGATTTGAATTTTTAAGAATGTACTAAGCTTAAGGGCAGCTGCATTGTGATCCTTGTAGGCCTTTGATGGTCTTGCAGTAGCTATGTAAGTAAAAGTTTTCCTTTGTATGATATTTTATCTAGTGCTTAAACATAAAGGAGTTTTGTCCAGGTTTACTTATCTGTCTTGGTTATGATTACCGGACTAGATATTCTTTCATTCATTATTTCATTTAGCTACTAGGTAGTTTATCTGGTATTGTGGTCTTAACATTTTGCATGTTTTGTTATGCTTGTCATACTTGAAGAGACCTGATGCAGATTAAACCATGTTCTTTTTCAGAGCCGAAGGAACAGAAAGAACCGTACAGCTAGCATGGAAATTGAATCCATGAAAGAATCATCAACTGATGTGGAAAACAAAGTAGAGGATTCTCAGACCCATGTATCTGCCACGGCTGACGAGTAGGACCAACAGAAGAATGACCTAGGGAATGCTTGCATCATCATATTTAAGTTTTTGGTAACCAATGGATAGCCTTGAAGATAGCACAGGAACTAGAAGCATCGACCTTTGTTGTTGGGGTTTTGCTACCCAACGAGGAAGCAAAAGATCAGAAGCGGGGTGGTGGTGTTGTTGTACAGGTGTGCCGTAAGAGTTTGGTCGTGCGCTGCATTTTACATTTGATTATAAATTTCCCCCCTTTTTCATTTCAGTTACCGATTCTTTTGTATGCTGGTTATCCCTTGCCTTAACTTGGTCTCCCTTTTAATTTATTTATTTGTTGATTTTGCAATGGACATCATACTATTAAATCAATTATTATCTTCCTCCTCAAGATTTAAAAAAAAAAAAAGAGTAATCTTCCTCCTAACACAGGGATGTGCTGTGTGGGCTTTTCTGGGAGTCGGGAAACACTAAGTTGAATTTTTTGGTTCATTCTTTTTGATGGTTGGATTCATACTAATTCATTTGTCCAATAAAATGAAAAAATAAAAATAAAAACTACAATCACCCGATATCTTTGGGAATTTTTTTGTTAACGTATGCAAAATAATATAGTTATTATTACTACATACTAAAGTGTCGCAGTTGTGTTGATTTTTTAATATTTAATTTATTTTTAAAAATATTAATTTTGTTTAATTTAATTGTTAAATATAATTGATAATTATAATTATTAACTAATAATTGAAAGAATGATTGTAATTAACCGGTTGAAATTAATTATATGTTGATTTAATTATATTAATAGTGTTAACGATTTAAGTAGTTCAGTGATTATTTTCTTTCGTTAAAAG